ACCTGCTACTTTTACTGCGGCTGGCTGAGTACATTATTTGTTGAGTTTGTCATTCCATATGCTCCAAATAGTGTTTCATGTTAGACGTTGAGCACAAAGCATACTTTATTTCAGTAAGCTGGAAGTTACGAGGGAGGAACTGGTATATGTCATTCAAGTTCCTTATATGTTGAAAAAAAAATGTCAAAGAGATTTTCCCCCATGCGAAGATTGTGAAACAGCAAAATGAAATATTTACTACCAAAAAATGACTTTTGTTGTGAGAATTCTTCATAAGATGTTGATAGTTTTTGACTACAGTGATAACGAGGATAACAACTGCGGTAAAAATGGGCATAAAATTTCGTCAACTGATTTGAATTCATCGGAAAGCAAGCACGATTTCGATACTTTATCAGAAAGTGTCTTACATGAATAGCTGCCTCATAATGAAAGTAATCCAAATCTATCCAGAGAAAGATATCGAAGAGGACCAAACATCTGCGCAACACTTTGTAGAAAACATGAAGAAAACACAATAAGAAGTCATTTCTTGAAAAATTTCGAAAAGATGGCAGGAAATGGAACATCATGAAGATGGAGCTGGTGTCCTCAATTTTTTTTGATTGATAACATATTCAAAAGGTAATGCTATAAAATCTTAAGGCTCATATCTTATTTAAAAAGAAATATTTCAAATGGCAGACTATAACTTCATAGACACTTTTCTTAAAGTACATTATTTTGAATGCGATAAAAGTTTATTAGATTTCGAAGCAAGATAACGAAACACAAAAACAGCAAGCTAGATAACGAAAGCAAGATAACGAAACATAATTTCTTTTGACAATTTGAATGCTTTTATTGTAATGCTTTATATCCCATGGGCCTCAACCGCAAAAGGAATTCCTTCTTTAAGTCTTTTGTTAAATACTTAGGCCACAAGTGTTTCACCTGAAATCTTGAACCGAAGTAAATGCCTGGAAATAATGCGAAATATTTAATTGGACATAAAAAGTAATGACCAAAAAAGATTGAAAAATTATACATTTGTTTCCATATTAGATGTCTGGAATATATTGCTAGAAAACTGTTTTGTGTGTGATAAAATAGGAGGGATTATTACTGTTAACGAGCGAATCTTTTCTTCCAACACAGAATTAGAAATCTGCAATATATTTGGACATAAATTTTGGTATTCTTTGGTAGCATAAACTAATTCTAAACCCATAGCGACTTTGGAGAGAATTATCTCTGCAAGTGAAGATAACGACAAAGAATTGAGAACATTACAAAATAACCTTTTTATTACATCAGAACTTTGAACATAAAATGCACTTCTCGCGCTTGACAAGATCAGCTAACCATTTGTGGAGATTTATCTTAAAATAACAGCAAATTTCACATTTAAAACTTAGTAGCCCAAACTGCGTAAATTGGTTTAACACGAAGATGAATAATGTTATCTTATTTGAGCTAGCAGAAACCTAGTAATGTTACCTCGAGAGGCAGAAACACTTCTGTATTACAATTCGAAAGCCTCACCTTAAATACTCTTAAACCTAATTTGCATTTTGGTAGGAAAACGGAAAGGAGAAGTGACAATAAAGCTCTAAATCATAATAAATGGTTAGATTAACATAGTGGAACTTAACACGGCATAAAATTTGCTTGATTACTATACTTCTACTAAGTAAGCAAAAGGGGGCAACAGATAGCCTTTTACCTCTATAAACCCTGCGAATAGTCTTACAGAATAGACATTGAATTACACCAGAGCAGTTGAGCAGTTAACAAAGCAAGAGAGGAAGCTCCTACATCTTCATCCTACATCGGGGGGGGGGAAAGAAACATGAAGCATGTGTAATAGTTTTCTGTGAAGCAACAATATACTGGTATCTTATTAGCGTTAAAATATACCCATATTCTTAGCGCACTGCACTTTATAAGAAATACGTAAAAAAGTAAAATCATAACTTTTTTAATTCTAAAACGTTTGGGTTTGATATAGTGGATCATATAGGAAGGAAATACTTCACATTCTTCGTTACAATATTCACAATTTTTTTCCTTCAGTATTTTAAGCTTTGTAAGTAGGATTACTCGGATAATTTTTAAGGAAATCAGAAGAAAAAATATATTCTGAAATTTTCAGGAAAGCTTAGAGCAAGAAGCATATTTCAAGTAAACCTGAAGGTATCTCTTCATCAACAATCGCCCTAGAATTCTGAAGCAAATGCGAACGCTGTCAAGTCAATGAGTATAAAGAGAACAAAATTATAACCGTAAACGATAATTGAATGAAATTTCGGTAAAATTATCCGGGCAAATCAAAACCATTAAATTTTATATGGAGTGTTGAGAAGAATTGTTTACGTATGCAACATCATTCGGCCATATGGTAGGTAATTCACGATTATAATGATTTAATATTGTGTTAACTCTTTGTTTATAAATATGCATAATGTTACAGTTGAATTTAAAACTACAATTCTTGTATAAGTCCTGTTCAAAACTTCCATGCAAATCGTATTTAATTTTATGAGAATTATTTATAAATACTTTAATTTGAAACTAGGTTATTGTTATAATACGCAGTTATTTCATTTAATAGTACTTAATGTCTCAGGAAAAAAATGTTATTTGTCAGAATAACTTTCATCATGCGTCTGCCATCACGTAGTGTGCGAAAATAAAATAATTGAAGTCAGTGGGTCATCTATGACCCATCTCGGCAATTCTTGCGTTATTTCATCACTTGTCTCCATTACGTGCCAGAATGTGATAAGGAAGAAGTGGTGCAGAATTGTGAAATAAAAAAACTGCCATTAAATTAAATGGCTGAAACTTTCAAAACACGTAGTTACACATAATTGCACCAGGCAGTCAAATATTTTGTTGCAAATTTTAGCCAGCGGAGCCATAGAAAGAAAAAGGGAAGCCTCAAAATACACGAGACAAACATATCAGTTATTTTCAAGTGTCGGTAACAGTGAAGGATTAGGTTTAATTATCAAAATTCATATTCACATGCAAAAAAAAATGCTTGTAAACGGTGCTTCACAACAAATATTTTTGGTGTATTCTTCCAATCTGACTAGGTGGTTCTACATATTTCTGTCTATTGGTTCGCTGATTATTTGATTAAGGCACAGAGTGGGCATTTGATTGACGTAAAGTGTCGTAAAAATTGCCAGTGTGCAGCGGCCTAATCCATTCGGCCATTAGCTGGCATTTCTATTTATTGCTTATTTATTTTTAGATTTAAGTATTAACTGATGCTGGCTTTAGTAATATACACTGGAGATTGTCAGGAAATACAAATATATATCTTATTCTTACCGCCATGCATAGCTTTGGGAGTATAATAGTAGATAAATTGTACAGTAGTTGCAAAAGATGATCGTTCTTTTAGATCACTTTCTTTTTTTCATTCTTTAGGGTTTATCTGCACTTATCAATGTCACACTTCAGCTTTCGCGAGTGATTTTAATTAAACTGTACAGAATTTAACACTATTTCGATTTTTTGGCAATGCACAGTAATCTTTAAAAAAAAGCGTATAGTTCCTTTTCCATGACCTTTAAAATTTCGGAGACCTATAATTAAGAAACAGAAAAATATAGCCGAGGAATAACAGTTAGGAGAGTATTAAGCTCGCATTTATTCCTGGAGACATCAATCATAAAGAGTTTCTAGAGCTTGGGAGATATTTATTGCAAGCTGACTCTTGCGAAAACACAAAGGCGGCATAATCGGCAAATAAGCTACTGGTTTACGGAAATTACGAAAATCAGTTACTATATAAGTACTTCTTTTTTTTTCCTGCGCTACTTGGATTAAAAACTTGCGTGTCTTACTAAATTAAAATACTCGTCGTATTTCTTTAATATAAACTTAATTAGGAAACTACGATTAAAGAACACCCTCTGTATAAAGAACAGGATATCTAGCCCCAGTGAATGTCCGTTTGTGGGTGGGTGTCGTTTACAATTCCACGTATTGAATATGCATGGCGAACTTGCAGTAATCATAGAAATTCTCACTAACAGTATAATTTGCATGCATCGGTAGATTTGTTTTCCGTGAAGTACAGAATTACATAAATTAAATTGTCTGATACTTGAATAATGAATGTTTACATGGTTAAGGAGACTTTTTCAGGATTATACTAATTTGTAAGTAGGATTTTGTAATAAAAAGTTTGGAAATTGCTTGAGTATAAATGTACTGTAGTGTAAAATATGTTCGGACGGACATTTTACGTTGTAGAACAACACAAGCCAAATAATGCTTTTAGAAAGCATTTTTTAAAATTGTTTTATATCTCTTAAGTTAGTTATTTCAATCAAGAAGAACGAAAGGCAAAAAATATTTATAATACCCACTTTTAAAATAAGATCATTGTTGCATTAAATAAGAGATTACATTTAATTTAGCTTTAGCCAATAGGTAATATTAGCACATATATCATTGCATAGAAAATTGTTTGGCGCGAGTTGGCCTGTATAACGAAAAAGGTTCATATGCTCAATTTTTTTCATTAATGGAGTGGCGGCCAGATGCCCACATACAGCCCACAGCCCACATACAGCCTTTAATTTTGTTTTGTTTCTGAGATCTATAGTAAACTTTAAAATATTATTATTGTTGTTATTATTCTCAGCCGTTAGCTTCCTGTCTCATGCATATTTTCACGAAATTTTCTAAGAACTTAGAGCGCATTAAATACTCAAGCATACGTACATATAGTACATGTGGAGAATTTTTATAGCGTAAAGCTTTGATGAGGTTTCTAGCATCATATGAACACTCACAGTGCAGTGCTCTTTTTAATGTATATTATATTTTAGTAGATAAATATTTCGCTGAAAAGTGCATTTAAAAGCACATTTTGAAGATCCTTTCAGTGTATTGTTTGTATGTAACACGATCCTACTGTATCTGCAATACTTATTAAAAAGATTATTTGAAATAAATATAATTAGTACCTCAAAAATCATTTCTAAACATTTTTCTAGGCTGTATATTTTCTCTATAAAGCAGAATATATCGGAAGACCCATGGCATCAGTGTACATCTTAAACTGATCCTCATGTATACAAAGCTGGTCTTCATTAATTGCAGGTATGAAAAAATTTATTAGTGATTCCTATGCAATTCAGTTCTCTGCCGTTATTATATAGAAGTACATAGTAAATAGGATTTCTCGATGGATAATATACGTGATATAAGTAAATACTGAATTCGAAGTATTTAGTGGAAATTAAATTAGGGGAAAACTGCTTAAACTGCTATATATTGGAAAGCTCGTTGATAGTTAAATCGATAAATATTGTAATTAGTGCAATAATTAAAAAAATTATTAATGTTTTGTACTTTATTCGATAGCATTATTTGCACTGGATATAATAGCTTATCTTCATTCAAAGTGCTAACATAAATGCTAGTAATTTGTTTACTATATGAAAGTAGTATTAAAATTTTTTTTCGAAATATGTCTTTTAACGGACGGAAGAATCAAAAAGATCCTCTGAGCAGTTGGTAGTTTGTTCTGTGCTCAATTCCCTGTAAACAAACCGGCTGCATGCTGTTTCCTTATGTGTAACTTGAATAAGAGTGAGTTTTTCTTAGAAATTTTCCTCTATGAAGGTATTCCATCTTAGGCAAACAGGCCGACATCCCCCCGCGAACGTTGCCACAAGCAGTTAACAGCCAACAACTGTATAGATGTAATTTCTTTTTAAGAATAAAGGTCAAAGAAGGTCTGCAGTATTAGTATAAGGTCAAAAGACAACGAGTTATTTAGTTAAAGAAATTTAGCTAATTTTAGTCTTAGTTAATATAGGTTAATGTATATCTTGGTGTGCTATAATTAGCAGGTAAAACATTTCATGTTTATTTATTTGGTTACTCTGGTGAGTAATTTACGTAAAATAATTTGATTGCCAGAACAAAAAATTAAAGGCTTTTGTTGCTAAAAAATTTTAAATTTCAAATTTTACTGGATTGAGAATTCATTAACATAAAATGTCTTGCTTTTGTTCCTTTTTACCACTGTTTAACTTAGAATAACAGACCATTGCGAAGAAAGATATATAAATCTAAATACTAACAGAAAAATATGGCTTTTTGTATACTAGTATTTTACGTTTCAATGTTGCTTAGCACGTAGATTCTTACGTATTTTAGCAACATATACTAAGTCAAGACTCTGAAGCAGACATTACCGATTTATCGCTATGCCTAGATAAACAACCAGAAACGTACTAAGGGTGTAAAAGATTCTTTTATTAAAAACTCAAATAAGTTGAACAAAAGACACTCCCAATGCTTACAAATCAACCAGCATTTATGGCCTGAGCTAAAAAAAAAAAAAAAAAAAAAAAGGAGAATGTTAAATTAAAACTAAAACTAAGTCTTAATTAGCCAAAAGCTATGCAAAGATAATTAAAGGCACAAGTTGGCTCTAATCTACACCGGCGTGACAGCACAATCTGCAAGAATAAAGCAAATCAGTAGACAGGAATGCTATCGTAGATTATCAACTAGTAACATGGCTTTCCGCAGGCGGAACCCGCTTTGACTATAGCAATCTCAAACCCTCACTTAAATACACGGGAGCTAAAATTTGCATTCTGGCAGGAAAAAGGAAAGGGAGACCTTACAAATATTAATTGAAATTAACTATCATATGAGTAGAGGAGAACAAAATATAGAATTTAATGAAATTGCAGAATTTTGAACTTTAACCGAGAGAAAAATTCTTATACTATCAATAATACATTAGAAACTCGTTTCTTCGAACTAAAATGTGGGGAGTAAAGTCCATTAAATGGAATGAATTAATTTATTATGACAAAGCAGGGATCAGTTGTCTCACTAAAGAAAGTTGCTGTTGTGGAGAATTTCCTAAGGGAAACTGGCTCATTTTTACCTCACATATGTGAATAGTTGAAATTTCTGGCAGTCACCGGATTCGGCCATGGAAAATCAAATTTGTAGCAAACCGTGTTTCTTAATTCACATGCCCACAGTTTACGCAGCTGAAAAGATAGAAATGAACAGCTATAATGTGTAACTCTCTCATTATGATGTAGGGTAGTGTTTGATTTGGTTTGGTTTATTTAACTGTCGCAAAACACTCAAGGGATATCTGTCTAAGAGAAAGGAGGCCTTCGTGGAGGATTTTATAAGAGAAATTGGCTCGTATACACGTTACACATAGGAAAAAACCCGAAAGCGGCTATGCTGCTAGCCCGTTCGCCGGGACTCGAACTCCGGATCGAATTACTAGTGTTCAGCGACTTTACGGCTCGTCCGCTGGCGGAGAAGTATATATAATAGGATGTGGAACCAGAATTAAATCATCATTATATTGAAGATAAATCCAACGCATTTAGAAATGTTTTTAAAATTAACTCTTAATTAAAAATGGTTAAAAAAATTTAGATATATATTTTAAATTGTTTTTTGTTTAAAAAATTAACGAAGTATTAAAATGACTGCTTACGCGGGTAGCTGATAATTAACTTTAGAAATAATTTTTGACTATTTCAGCCACATTATGTAAATAAAAAGCAACATATAAAAGAGAAAAAGTATAGAATGAGACAATTACATAGTACATAAAAAGGTAAATGCGTACGTATGTATGTATACGAAAGCGAAAATCACAACATGCATATACCATACATTCTTTTTTCCTACAAAATATGAAAAACACGTGAGGACATATGCCTTTAAAGTTTTCTGAAAAAATAATATTTTGATAGCGGATGGTTTTCAAATTCCTTCAGACCGGTTCCTTTTTCAAGTTATAGCGTTACTTTATGACCTCAAAGACTTTCACGCTTGAAGAATTCCTCTTATTTTGCTGTTAGATTCTTTGCTCTAAGCTGCTTTATTCGCACGTTTTTTAGGCATCAGTCATAACAACCGAATATATCGAGCAGTATTATAACAGGGGATTTTAGTAAACAAATGTACCCATTGTAATACTTGAGTAGATCTGTTATTTAAAATAACAAAGGAATGTCTTTTTAATAAATTTTTCTTGCAATGCTTATGAGGGGTTTTGCCACCCCACCGTTTGATTAGCAGCATATCGCATCATATGTACGTAGGGTGTTTCCAAAGTCACTAGAAATTGAGGTTTAATTTTTTTATGCCGTTAATTTACATCAATATTACAGTGTAATTTTTCAGCATAATCTCCATTTATTTCAAAACACTTACCCCAAAGAGAATTAATTTTTTTTAAAATCGTCCTCAAAGAATATTTTCGGTGTCTCCTCAATCCATCATTTTATGGCAGGATTAAACTCTCGAACTAAACATTCCGTAAAGCTTTGTTCTAATGTAGGAACAGACTGCTCCTCGCATAAGTCTAACAATTTCTGAAATTTTCATACGCGAGACGAAAATGATTGATCTTCGCTTCTTCCATGGTTGAAAAAACAGTGATACAAAAATACGCCTGCATCAGGTCAAACAACTGAATAGAGCTAAACTACTAACTCACAAGCAATATTTATACCGGACATCTACATAAACAAGTCAAGACTTGTGTATGGCCAATAGCTATGCTTCTAAGTTCTAGGAATTGAGCTCTAGTTCAATTCCTAGAACTTTGGAAAAATTCCACGTAGTTTCACAGCTATGTTAGATAAACTTGAGGTAACAAAAAAAAAAAAAAAAAAAAAAAAAAAAAAAAAAAAAAAAATCCTTCTGCTACTGTTGCTATAACACTGTAATAATTATATTTTCTCTTTAGATTCTTCTATTCTGCAATAAAAATTCATTAAACTGCACAGACGTCGTAAAGTTTTCTTGAGGGTTTTCACCATGCACTTACTATTTTCGGGGTGGTTTTGTTTAAGCTTAGCTTAAAAGGCTGAGCGCACGAGTACTTTTCTGATTACCTCCATATGCTGCTAAAATTATATCCAAACATTTTCTAAAATCATGTGCGAAAACTTCTCAATTAAGGAAGACATTCCATGCACATCTTTCCATCATTAATTACTTTCCTACCAATTATTTTGCTTTCGTCTGAATGCTTACTGTTCAAACGTATTCTAATAGAACTAAGCATCACGTTTTTGATTCAGTGGTTTTCTCTTTTCAACTTAGCGCATGTGAATGAGAAGCACAGTGTTCCTTAACCACTGGGTGAGGCATGATCCAAGGAGATTAGATTAGACTATATTCTAACCTCATTGTGTTAATCATCCAAATTCGGTCCCTATTCAGTTTCTGTAGTTAAAGAAAACCAAGAAATTTATCGTTTCTTTCAGCTGATTTTAACTGCTATACGGCGTGCAATCTCTTTGTCAGAAATACTGATCTTACACCGACAACATGCTTTATGTTACTCAGACACTCCCCCATTACGTCTACCTGCATATCTGCGCATGTGTTACCGTACATCACCTTACTTAATCTCCTGATTGGTCTTTCTGTCCGCTCTGCCTCTTCGTTCAGCTGATATGCTAATTTTTCGACTTCGTCCTTAATTTTTGCACACCAGTGTATGTTTCACTTAAGACGGGTTTAAGTTATGCGAAGTGCGTCTCACTCTTCTATTTTGCCATGTGAAACTAGCACTGGCAACAGGTAACAAGTCACTGAATACAAGAACTTAGATAATAGGTTTAATTTACTATAAATCTCTTCGAATTATCTTCTTTGAGAGAGATGAGGAAAAAAAGGACCTGTTTAGCAACGGGGAGAGAAACCGACTGCAAGAGATTAGAAATGTGGTCTTTTTGCGAGTGGTTAACAGTAGCTTAATAAGAAAATTATGCCCCCTTTTCAAACTTTCGATGGCGTGTTGCTTTTTTTTTTTTTTTTTTTTTTTTTTTTTTGTTAGTTTTGTTGCTCCATTAATACATTTACATCTTTTCAAGGAGGGGGGGATTAAATATTTATGTGCATTCTAAATTAAGCAAGAAATACAAGATTAATTTAAATACAAAATTATGGAATGAATATTCATTCGTAAAATCTTTCAAATGAAAAACATGCTTGTCGGTCTATTCAGTTTTATAAAAGCACAGGCTTAATAATTTTAATAATTATACATTTTATGGATTATTAGCGAACTTGATGGATTTGCCAAATGCTGTTTTATTTTATTTAGCAATTTTAAATAGCATGACATATTAAAGATGTAATTATTTCAAAAACATTTCTGTGATAATGCATAATAATAAAATATAGAGAAAGTTTTGCAAAAAATGTCATACTTTAAACAATGCTACAGTTTAAGATAGATATCTTAACGTTTTTAGGTATTACTTAAAGAATATTGATTATATTTAAAGATTCAATTAAGTTCTCCCGCAAAAATGTTAACATTTTTATGAACTTATGGTGAACGTTTTTTCCTCTCAATCGATTATATATGGGGAAGTTAATAAGGATATTTTCCGTTACAGAAAAACAGGCCATGAACTATTTTCTTTAGAAATATACGTGTGTCAACAGGATACTTCAGCCGGAAAACGTTCTTTTGTCAGTAGCTAATATTTAATTGCGGGGAAATGTTTTTAAATAGAAGAAATATCTTTTAGGTTATTTATTTCAATAAGCATGAAATAGAATGGTAGAATTTAAAGATATTTTATTGAAGATACTTGCTTTTGAAAGCATGAAAACACTCATATGCCTGGACATAAGAAAACCCATTTAATTTCACGGTAACCGTGGCTCATATCAGTGACCTCCAAACTTTGAGAATACATCCAACTTTAGTTGATATAAATGCGGTTTTCAAAGCAAATTAATAATAACTAATCAATACACTTCGAATATGCTTCCAATTACATCACGAATGCATGAGGAAAGGATGTAGAAAATATCTTATGTACTCCCCCTTTTAAAGAGACATTGAAGATTAAGGGACCCAATCGCCAAGTCCTGGTGGTGGCGAATTATTGTCCCCCACTCTTTTAGTTCGGGTATTACTTATAGAGTCATTATTTTTTTGGGCGGAAGTAGGAGACCTTAAAAATGTACAGTGCCATCACCGGGACTCCAACCTTGGACGTCTCGAATGCGCGTCGAGTATGCTTCCAAATTCACCGCAGAGGCATGCGGAAAGGAGAGAGAAAATACCTCATAATATGTAACATTTAAGCAGAATAATAGCAGTTGTTTGCTTTGAGAATACACTAAAAAAAGCTTCTGTTTTTATTCATGAAATAGCAACATTTTGTTGCATACTCGTTAGTCATTATTATTCTTTCTAAGCGTCGCGGCACAGACTTGAACTAAGTTTTTTGTTGTATCTGAAGATAATTTGTCCCATTCTTCTTGCAGAATATGTTTGAAATGATTTTTGCTTGTTATTTTATGTTGCACAATTATTGCGAGCATAGACATAGATTTCCGATGACATTAATATCTGAGAACAGAGGAGGAGTATGTAGTTGCTGTTTCAGTGGTAATGACATCACATTTTCACATTACAAGTCGTGTGTTCAGAGTCATTGCCTTGCTGAACTATGAAATTTCCATTCAAACCTAAATTATCAACACAAAAACACTTTCTTATAGATTCGTTTTGAGTGCATCTAAATACATCATGCAGTTCGTAATACCATCAATAAAAGCAAGCTTCCCAACACCCCCTGCAGCCATACAACCCCAAAGTATAATGGATCGACCCCCATGCGCCCCGTTAGACTAAGAAAGCAGTATTTGTTTTTTTGTAAATAATGTGATGACCATCACCCCCAAAATATTAAATTTGCTGTCATCCCTGAAAATGACCTTTCCCCAAAGTTTTGTGTCTTTAGTTGATGTAATTTAACAAAATAATAAAAGCTTTCTTTGATTTTGCAAACTTCCGAATGGTTTCTTTCTTCCTACTATACCGTTATAACCATTTTTCTGATATATTTCATATGGCTTGGTCATAAATACACCTACTAGTTTTTGCCGAGGTTTCTATAGGAAATTCGGTGCACTTGCATGGGAATGCAACTTGTTTTTAGTGCTCAGAATTTCTTTTCTTCCTCTTGCACTTTTTTCTCCGATTATTCCCTCTCTTTGTACTTTCCAATTAATATCTGAACACAAGTGTGATTTTATCTTATAATTATAACGATTTCACGATGAGGTATACTATTCTCTGATTATCTTAAATCAAACTTTCTCATATCAATACTGGTTTCTCATAAAGGTTTCGTATTACCTTCTAAAACCACTGATTAAAGTATAAGATACAGGCTGTTCTGAGAAATAATCAAGAGTTCTCCATAGTAACGATAAAAATTTATCGTCGAGAATAATCAATAGTTTGTCCATGATAATGATAGGAATTTATCATTGAGTCTGCAGATTAAATAAATAGTGGTAGTTAAACACATTTTTTCAGACTGTATTCTCATTTTTTTTGCCGTAAAGATTGTGCAGCAACATTCTCAAATTTCAAAAATTAACGCATTTTAACCTAATATTTTTACTTTTATGTATGTAGACAATCAAAACTCTCTTTTATGCATAATAGTGAAATTTGACATATTTTATGTCTTTTACTTGAAATTTTTGAAATTAAATTTTTTTTTTTGCTAAATTGGAAGTCTATTCTCGATTCTTGGAGTCATTGTATCTTTCTGTAGAAAATTAGTTGCCAAGTGGTTTAAACCCATGATTACTGGAAGTTCAATTTCAAGCAAACAGGTTGGCTGCATGGTTAGTTTCTGTGGTTTTCTAACTTTCTTTTGTTTTTCTAACTATTCTTTTGTTTTAATGTTCAACATGTAACGAGCCAGTTTCCTTTAAAATGTTCTCCACGAAGGCATCTCTTCCCTTAGACAGATAGCTCCTATGTGCTTTGCTATATTACAGAAACCTAACCTAACCCGAAGAAAATTGTTAGGCGGTCTTACTAAAATGGAAAAGATCCATTAGTGATAATTATTAAACTTTGTTTTAACTGACCTTGGTAAGAGAAGTCCATTTCTGCTAAACGTGATATGAACCATATGATTAGTGCCTACATTTAAAGGGAAGAAAGAAATAATTCATTATGTTTTAATAGCACATTAACAAAGCATAAAAAAGCTGTACATGCTAAAGTAAGGAAGTAAGAAAAAGAAGAAAACTGCTTCCAGCAAGACAATAAAATAAAAATTTTAAAATTCCTTATATTTTTGCCATAACCTTGATAATAATTAAATGCTTCATTTAATTTAAGAAACATTAAAATCCATAAATCATACTGTTTTCAAAACAACAGCGTTCTATATACGATGTTGGGTATAAAATAAATCCTTCATTTAAGCTGTGGTCTGCACATTTACATTAATCATTCCTTTTCTAAACTGTGTACCGTATATATACGTTATGTACGGTAAATAAATGTTTCACATATTGCTGTGTATTAGATAAAAAATATGTTTTATTAGATAAAAGTCTGGAGGTTAAAAAAGATAAAATCCTTCCAAGTATAATTTATTTTAGATATCTTTTCATTCTTCTCGCTGTGAAAAATAATTACTTCTGCCTTAAGTAGCAGGAAAAGAAGAAATTCTTGGAATATTCTTTTCTTAGCTTGTAAGTCCTCGTCTAATTTAAAATCCGCACTATCTTCAGTTCATGCAAAAGCGCCATCTTACCTATCAGAAGTTTGTTTTAAAATTATAATAAACAACAAATAGTTCAATTAATTTAAGTTATGCGTAGGAAAATGTATTTGTTTATAATTTGATTAAATATTTCAGACTAACAAACATCTGTTCAAATACATACAATTGGCACCGCGTAATATGGCCGCTAATTTTATATAAACATAACCAGAAACCAATTTTATATAAATATAATAAAAAGTAGAATTTTCACAGCATTTTAAATAGAAAAAAGCAAAAATTTGCTTATGACCTCACTATGTCTTTAATGCAAAAGTTCACTTACAAACTGTTCGTAACCTTTGTGGAAGTTATTTAATTTTTTCTTACGCTTGACGACTCCAAGAAAACCTGCAAGTTTTAGATCGGATTTAAAAAAAGATTCTTTAAATATATAATTAATTAGATTACGATTAACGCTGTGAGTATAGATCAGAAATTTTTAAAGTGTTTAAAGTGAAATCTTAAACAGATTTGATATTTTGAACGCATCAAATGGATGCACACAGGGAAGTTTATTAATGGGCTTTTGTAATTCTAAGTATTTACAAAGAGAAAGTTTTTCGAATTAAACGATATATAATTAACTGTGATATCTTAATAATACATTATTTCTCAGAGTCGTTTTTAATTGCCTGAATAAAATATGATTTTTCCTACTTTCAGAATAAAAAATAAAAATAATAACATGGCACTTGTTTTTTGACATTTATTTTAATCCTTTACAGTGATTGTGTAATGAAACGATTATAATAATTATAGAAGACTAGACTACCTACAATTATCCAAAGGTGTTTCAAATCGGAATTTAACAGAGTTCTTCCAAGTGTATAATTAAGTAATGGTTGAATATATGAACATAGAATCAAAAGAAATATTTAAAAAGAAATCGGAAGAGACATACGTTACAGATTCATTAACAAAAGATTTATGAGTGGAAGTTTACTAACAAGCTATTAATATCCCGAAGGTTTGTGAAAAAAAGTCTTTTTAAGTTGAACAGTGTATAATTAACTGCTTTCCGATACCTTTTTCCGTTTTTTTTTCCGCTACAGAATTTTTTAATCAGGTGAAAAAATTGTGGATACCCTGAACTTTAAGACATAAAAAAAAGAGATGAATGTTTTAGACGTTTTGTTTTAATCCACTGCAATGACTGCGATAAAATATAACATTATTATTATTAACTAAGTAATGAAATATCATTAATGTTACATTATTTTCAGCATTCTTAAAGAACTGCAAAATTTTTACTTACTATGACCCACGTCCCGACCATGGTTCCACAAGCAATGTATTGGAAACTCTAGAAAAATAATATTAATGCAAAAAATAATATTAATGCAAAAATTAATATTTTAGAGTTAATATGTAGTATTGAAGCAATTATTAATGGTATGCCATAAAACATAACCAACATAAAAAAACTTAATTTTAAATGGAACTGAACAATACAATTATATTGGTATATGTTAACTAGCTAGTTATTTTATCACTTTATTTTGATTTCGACTTCCGTCGGCTCTCACCAGGATGAAAACTAGGTACTGCATTTTAAGTACAGAGATATTGAGTTCGAAACTAGAATTTTGGCAGATATTGCTATAGTCTGTTACTTTAAACTATGCGCTTCAAGGTTTTTTTTCCGCTCTCCCTTATTTGCGATCGTAACGTATATCGTCATCACTTCGATGACTTACTTTTCTACCTCTTTTGAGACTAGTTCAAATCAGTTTCCATCTGCATGTTTTTAACAAAATGAAATGCTCTAATCTGAAATGAAGTAGAAAAAAAAAAAAAAAAAAAAAAAACCGGTTTGGGACTTGACCATCTCCCGCAGCTGTCGTTACCATGGTTCCGAGATAAAATGGGCAGAAACAAACGAAAAGTATTCGAAAGTAACAAACTATAGCCAGTTACTTTGCGATAACGTTCTGCTACTGATTTGAATTGCTTAGTCGGCTTTAGCTTTTTTAGCCCTAATTGCTTCGCGAAAATATTGAGGCTTGAGTCAAAGCTTGCTCCGATGCGTCTAACTTTGAGTTTAGTATTTTAATTGGATTGGAATATTTGTTCAACGATTTTCCAGCAGTTAGCGGCTTGAACTTCTGTGTTATTGGACCGCTTCTGTAAACGTTTGGCTGATGAGTAAATGAAAAGGATTTATTTTAAATCATTTGAGTTTATTTTACTATATTTAAGATGAGAGCCCAACAATTGCTGAGCGGTAATGGCAGTGAACCCTGGAAGTTCGTCCCGGGTTCGATTGACCGAGCTAGTTGTATAAGCTTTATAGTGGTTTTCCTCATCTATAACATGCATAAGAGCTAATTTCCCCCAGAAAATCCTCCGCAAAGCCATCCCTTCCTTTAGGCAAATAACCCTTTCTTGCTTTGTTATAATGAGATAAATAACGTAAAATATAATCTTAAGGTTAGACGATAAGTTATGTGTCTGTACTGTTTTAGGAGGAGACGGTTAAAATAATGTCGAACCGTTCAGTAACTGTACTAGTATAAGTCTTCAAGGTAACGTTCTTCTGAAAGGAAATGTTTACAGTTTGGCTCATGAGAAAGTGTACTATAAGAAATTTTGGACTAGTAGGTAATTTTATGTTAGATCGTTAATCTACCTAATCTACCTTTAAGGCAATGAGTTCGGGGAGAACTTTCCATGGAAAACTGATTCGCATTCATGTATTACGCATAGAGACAGCACAAATATCCTAGGCAGCGAGCCCTTCAGTCGCTGGGAATCAAACCCATGAGAGATTCGGGAATGCTCATTTTCATTTTGGATAAATTTAGGAAGTACAGAGAGCTTGCATAATATTCATTTTACGGAATTATTGGTGATATTTAGCATGAGATGTGAATAAACTTCATACTAAATTATTGTTTCGTAGTCAAAGCTCCTGAAACAAAGTATTGAAACTAGAATTTAAAAATTATGTTCTCTAAATCTACAGTATTCAGAATATTGCTTTAATCAGATATTAAGAAATAAGATTGCGCTCAAAAATATTTATTTAAATCAAATAAGGAATTAAATAAATATCAACTGAATTAAAGACGTAACTAAAACCATGCAATATTCCACCAAATTAGGAAAAAAAACTACTAGTGGAAAAACAAACTAGTTAAAATTTTAGCTAGATTATTGTTAATGTATTCTGCATCTATTTCAGAAGTTACTTGTTTAATGAATAAGAGTGTTAGAAAACTGCCAGTTTCACTTAACGCAAATCTTTAAGATATTATACTATTAAAATATTCTATTACGATTAAATAATAAAACAATATACGAGCCAAACATTAATTTATTTCCCTTCAGTGTCAGAAGCTCAATATTTAAAATAGTTTCTAACGAACTGCTTATTTACATATCACGCCGACTTTCAAACATGTTTTCCTAAAAATTAAAACAAAGGCATAAAATGAAACAGAAGTGAAAAGTTATTAAGAAGATACAACTTAAAGAATTACAATTTTACGAGTGGTAATGCAACAGATAAACAAGCGAACGGGCTGGCTGCATGGGCGTTTTCGTGGTTTTCCCCATGTGTAACGTGTATACGAGCCAGTTTCCCTTAGAAAGTCCTCCACGAAAGGCATCCCTCCCCTTAGGCAGATAGCCCTCGTGTGCTTTGCCATAATTAAATACACACACACCATATTTGGAAACAGTTATTCATGAACTACAAGCTTTCATTAAAAGCGGTTTTCTCTTACTGACATTATCGCTCTATTCATTATTAGGAATTCAACTTTCTTTCCTTAACTATTAGAATGTGAAAGGCTATACAATCATGAATATAGTGCTTAATGAGGCACTTGTTTCAGTTATAAAATAAGAGCAAGCATATTTAAGATGCGGAATATTGAATTTTGCCGTAAATGTTGAAACTTATCGAGATGGTTCTAACTACGCATTTCTAAATGTTGTCAGTTACGAAAGTTCCACGCCCCATGGTAGGGTCTAGCCATTTATAGGCGTTGGCTACTAATAAGGCGGGGAGCGGTGGTCTCTTTATTATGGAGGTACCCAGCAGGTAAACCATCGTTGCCTCCTATGACTGGAAGGACAAATTACATAAATGCCTTATCCGGGACTCGGACCCGGATCTTCGGTACGACAGGCAGTGTCACTAATCACTCTACCGTCTGGGAGGGGGCAGTTACGAAAATTGAAAGCATGCCATTATACTTTTATAATTAGTGATAAAATTATTTCTACTCTTTAAAGAGAAAAGGAATATTTTTTGCTCAAGAATTAAGCATTAGTTTTTTACAATGGAATAATTATTCGAGTATTTTAATTTAGTATTTTATATATAAAGATTTGGATTATTTAGGTTACAATAAAGCATGGGAGGGTCAAAGGATGGAATGCCATCGTGAATGAGAACCGGGTTTTCTTACAGAATTCTCCACAAGCATCCCTTCCTTTAGACGATAGCCGTCGTTTGTTTTTCCCTATTTAAATAACCGAACCTAACCTAACCAAGTGTTCCTAGGAAATAAATTCGCAGCTACGTCTTAAATAATTAAGTCTTTTCCTTAATAAATTAAGTGCGTAAATCTAAACGCGACTTGCATTTACCATGTCATAATACCACAGTAATTTTCTCCTCGTCATTTGAGCCCTAACAGTAGCCGTGTGGTCCGGGTTCGAATCGTTGATTAAACCAGGTTGATTAACCCAGGTGAAAGCAGGTTATATATGTGTGTGTGTGTTTTTTGTAGTTTCTCTCATGTGTAAATGAACACGAAATATTTTCCATTAGAAAGTACTCCACGAAGGCATCTCTTCGCTTAGGTAGATAGTAGATATCCAAATAAACTAACCATGGAACCTCAAAAGCTCATTTTAAATATAAAGTCTCATGTTTTATACTTTTAATTTCTGGAGATTAATTTTTAACTAAGTCTATTGTAACTGCTAACTAACTTTTTAAGTCTATTGTAACTGCTGAACGTAAAAATGTTTCTGGTGTTAAACTGAAATCTGCAAACGAAGGTAAGGTTGAAATCGATTTTTAATCTTATAATTTGTAATTTCTTAATTTTAAAAAAAAATTAAATTTTAATGATGAACTCCTCCAGATTTTAAACTGTAATCTGGATAGGTTGCAGTATTTTCATTTCAAACTGACTTGCATTCCGTTATAAAAAAATAAAAAAGTAAGAAATGTAGGTTTTGATGCTTTACCCCAGTCTACGCGGAGTGGAGTAATTTTAAAAGCTTCCGTTATTTTAAGAACAAGGAAATTTGAAAAAGCTGATATTTAGCAAAAATAAATAAATGAAAGTAAAAAGAAGTGGAATATTTCCGCATTCTATTCTAGGAATTAACTTACTACCCATGGGGCGAAAAAGCAGGCTTTTGGATCTTTCAGTTTCATAGTCATATTTATTTCTTAGCAAGAAACCCAGGCTTTCTTTAAAAGTGTTTTTTACTTTATTCTGGACAATGAAGAATTCTATTTTATGCTATTTGATCGGAGAGTAGGACGGGCTCGGATATTGACTGCTTACAAATATCATTTGATATTGCAGTTGTATCAAGAACTGCCATTTAATTTCTTTAAGTTCCACCTATGTTTTATGTCAAATATTTTTCGCAACTTCAAATAGCTGGGCTACTTTCATACCACAATTTACTCAGATATTTGCAAAATCGATACTTTTCTGTTGATGAGTCTCCTGTCGGCTAATGGGTGTCAAAGTGCCAAATATAGTAGCGTGTTTACATTGCGTTATGAATAGTTGTGTATTGAAGTCGTTGCAAATAAGTGAGAAGAATGAACATTGATCCAAGATTTTACTCTTATTATTATACAAGAATAAATCATGAAAATCCCATGCAGCCAACCCCTTCGCCGCGATTTGAACCCCGGACAAAACTACCAGTGTTCAGCGACTTTACCTCTCGGCCATCGGTGGGCAGGCTGTGGAAAAAGCAGCGAATATTGCTATTTGCTACCAAAGTTTTATTTCCATCCAAATGACTGTGTGAGATATTTTGTGGTTCCTATACCCATACAATGCATATGTGAGCCACTTCTTTGCAAAGACTTTTGAAAAATTAAAAAAATAGTTGAAATTCTAATTTGAAAACACCTACGTTGTTCATGCCCTGTTAAAACACTCTTCGTGTATTTTATTAAACATACCTTTTCCGAATTAAAATTTAACAGAAAGGTACCGCTGAACTTAGTAGAAAGATAGAAAATTCTCCGGATTATATTTCACACTTGAAATCTTTCTGAAATTGAAATGTATGAGACATTTGAAAGACTCGTAAATAGTATGCAGGATTTGGTTGATCTTTACATTATGGTAACTTGGCGATTTTTTGGCGAAAATTTGGCAACCAACTCTCCTACAGCAACCCTCTATTTTTTTTTCCCCGCCGCCATTTTGTCTTCACGAAGTAAAGACATGTTTCTTTTCCTTTTATCTACTGAACACTTCTTCCAACAATCTAGTAGCCGAATTACACTTATGCTAGAAATTTTATCAAACAAAACTGCTTAATCATGACAAATATTCACTGCAAAATTGGGAAAAAAGTGCCAATACCGTACTCCTTACGCGTTTTTCAAAATAACACATACACATAAACCATGTACACACGCGACTTATTTTTACTTAAAAAAAAAATCCCAGAATTGCACAAAAAATGGCATTGCGCACACTCTTCACTATATCCATGTACACTGCTTTTTTCTCATAAATTAGAAAAAATTTCACAAAATACATGACAATTTTCTCAATCTTAAACCCGGTAAAAAGAACATATATGAAATTACCTGATCGCTAAAAAGTATTTACCCTTTACAAATATGAACATTTCCACATATAAAATAAATAAATATCCAAAAACTTTTACCTCTAAATCATCTATTACATTATACACGTCACCAACGAATTCATACCGCAAGCATTACAAATACTTAGTATCAAAATTTAAATTATTTCCATGCACGTTTATTTCAACTTAAAAGTATACCCAATTCCTACAAACATAAATTCACAAAACTATCATTTCATTAAATATAATTAAATTCAAAAACACTACTTAAAATATAAATGGCACATACATAAATTAATAAAAATTACCTTACAATCCTAATTACTTTAAACTAAATCATTGCTAATAACAATTTTCCCAATAATACCAAATTCCTTTCCACCTTACATTTAGAACAATGCATAAAAATAATATCCTCAAATAATTAAAAATACTAACTTACCTAATCTTCTCAGAATCTTGATTATGTGGCGGATACACTTTTCTAATTCATTCAATAAAATTATTGAAAGATTTTTTCTGCGAATTTTTCCTCCATACTTCCTCCGCTAAATAAAAAGCAAACTTCTCTTTATCACAATGCCTAAATACCCATTTCGAATTCACTTTAATTAGGGCCATGGGATCCAAAAATTACACAACACAGAATAAAGCAAATACAAAATTTCCACATTTTTTCCTCGATTTCCCCCCTTTTCCGATTAAAGAACCGTAATTCGTCCATTAATATCACATGACATATCCCATGATCTCTCATTTCCCTCACGCAAAATAATGCGTAATCGGAACTGAGTACTGCTCACATTATTACCAAAGTCCCAGGTAGTAACCTTTATCGCCTCCAAAATGTCGCCAAACTACCAGTTACCATATTGTAAAGATCAACCCAGGATTTATTTAAAGCATCAAAAACTGTATAAAATAAACTAAAAATTGTGTTATTCTATAAAATCTCTGAATGTATTAGCAGATCGTTGAAAAGAAGGAACAATTCATCGAAATCGAAATAGTTTCTTGGGAATTCTTTCAAAATCTGATTTAATATTTGGAAGCTGAATTTTCATTTCATGCAATGAAATCAGAATTTATATATGCTGTCTTTAATTTTTTATTGCTGCGAATTATGGATTTTCGCTTTACAGTAAATTCGCAGTGCCATGCAGCATTAAAATACTTGTTGCCTTTAAAATGTTTCTAAACTGAAATTCAAAAGACCTAATTACCTGAAATAATAATTATCTGATAGTAATAGACTTCAATTCTCGGTATACTAGAAATCTACAAAAGAACACTTAAAAACTGAAGGAAACATTACAAATTAATACGAAACAATCTCGAAAAGCAATATGTATCTGATGTAATATTTTTGTAAAATTTTATAAACCTTGCATTGATGTGTTTATATTTATCATTTTAATTTAAAAATTAGAAAATTAGGATTCATAACAATGTTTCTATTCTTCATTCGTACAAAATTCTCAATTTTTCGGCTTTAAAAGGATTTGGATTACTTAATTATGGCAAAGCATTCGAGCACTATCTACCACAGGTGAGGGATGCCTTCGTGGAGGTCATTCTAAGGGAAACTATCTCGTACACACGTCACACAGGGTGAAAAGCCCGAAAACGCCCAAACAGCGAGCTCGCTTGTCGGGATTTGAACATCAGACTGAATTTAGAACATCATACTACTAATATTCTATGATTTTAGTATTCGGCCGCTGGATTTATAAATAAATAAAAATTATTAATTATAAATTAAATAAATTAATAAAAATGATTAATTATTAATTTAAATAAATAAAATAATAAATTTCAGCATTCATTCGTAACGAAGAATTTTTTTTTTTTTCAGTATCATATCTGTTCGCATTGTAATTGTTATAAATATGCACGTATTTTAAACCTAGAAAAGGATGTTTTGCGTTACTGAATAACACACGCCATACAATTTTCACTACAAAAATATAAACGCCAACTTAATACTTCCAACGAGAAAATACTTTCGCCTTCAGTTCATTTCGACTGTGGTAATGCTTTTCTAAATATAAGAAATATAGTTCTTAAATTCTTTATTGAAATAAACAAAGAACAATTAGAATGACACATTTTAAGAGGGAAAAAACAACAAGGTTTATTTAACGGTGGCCAATAGGCACATATACTCTTCTGTGGAAAACTGGTTAGCTCTTGCTGTCGTATAAGTTTCTGAGAAAATTTATAGGCTAAATTTAAGCACCGTAATTATTTATTTGCAGCTAAGATAAAAATGTTGTACAAGATATAATAATTTATTTAAAGCTACTAGGACACTATTTGAATTTAATTGTTTACTATAGTATAAATCCATGAAAAGCATAGATACAAGTGTCAATACCACTATACCAATATGGAAAATAATTCATGTAAATAAGCAATTAGTTCTGATGAGTTCTTTGCTGTTCTTACTATTAGCGTATTGCTAAAAATTATAGTTAAAATTTAATAAACAAAGTTTTAAAAATTGGAAGTATACTTTTCTAAACAGTAAATATCATCAAGTAAATGTGTACTTTACCTTCTTTTTCTTGTACGAAGCTCAAGTGCAGTCAGAATAGGCAAATGTGGCGCCTTTATAAGTGATCAAAGATCGCTTTGTTATCGAGTGACGTAAGCAACTCGCAAACTGAACGAATCATTTTCTTACTTTCAGTTGAAAGGAAACACTAAAAACACTGTGAGATTTCTTCCATTACTGAAAACAACTCGCTGAAATTTACTCCAGCTTCCTAATGTGCAACAGCGCTTAAGAAATTTTCTAAAGGCAAAGAATTTTTATCTTTCGGCTTATAAAACTTTTCTTGCTATTTACTTAACTTTGTCACTCAATCATTTAATTTGTAAAACCAAAATGTAGTTCTTTTGGCTACTTATAAATGGTATAATATTCTATTTTAGTTGTGCAATATTCTGTTGTTATATTTCAGTTTTGCCATATTCACATACTTATCATGAAAGCTTGGAACTTCCGTCTGTGAGAGAAATCTTTCTTTTTTTCGTGAAAACTCTTCAGTTTACTCCAAGAGTTATGTTTTCTGCGTTCAAGATTTCATTGATTTCTTTCGATTTCTGCATTTTTCTGCCTTTCAGAGGTCATTCTCAGCCAATTTAAATCCAAGCGAAATAGCAATATAAAATATTACCGCCTCTGCGTGATGGCAATTTTTACTGAAACCATTGATTCAGGAATTTTTATTTCAAGCGCGTCGTGGTCTATATCTGAAACCCATACTTTAAAAGCTGCACTGAAGTGAAAAATTGTCTGATATTTGTAAAGCAATTCAGTACTTCACAAGTTTCGTTTAATGAATTGTTTGCTTCTTTTGGTATAAATTATATTGAAATTTGAAATCGAGTATTTTCTAATCACCGTTTAGAAAACGTTTCTGATGGTTTCGTCTTTGAAGAAGCTTCGTTTCAGGTCAGTAAATGTATTTTTCATTATTTATTATAGAAATAGCAGATGCTTTTTCATGAATTTAACTGATTCCATCAGAGCCACCAGTTCTAATAAAAATGTTTCTTATTCTTTTCTGTATTAAAAATTTGCTGCTAATTTTTTTTCCTTTACCAAATTCATTTACAGTAGAAGTCCATTAGTCCGGCATCCAACAGTCCGGAATGCCCGATAGTCCGGCATCGCTCCGGAAAATTGTAAAAATTTTGGTTTTCTCCAAAAGTGTGTCTTTAAAGCAAATAAAACCGCTCGAGAGCTATTCGGAAGTTTTCGGGGTAGTTCGAGATCATCCGGAAGCGCTCGGTATTGTTCGGAAACAATTAGCGGCCGGCTAGTCTCTGCTGTCACAACAAATTCAGGTGCAGTGCAGCTCCGTTAATCAATCACGAAGCGTCTTCGCCATTTTTTTGTGCGTTGTTGTTTTTTGTGTCCTTTCACATCGCAGTAAACGTAACTTTTGAAACTGTTTATAAAAAAAGTGATTTTCGTTCTAAATGTACAGTGACCATGTTTTCAAACCTAAGCCTTCGAGTTCAAAAGGAGAGAAACGAAAAACACGTAACACTGACTCTCAGTCAGAAAAACTAGAAAATCCTCAAACGGCTAGAAAAAGGCGAGAATAGAAAATGTTTTAATGAATGAGTTTAATATTGGCTCATCAACTATTTAATGACATTAAAAAACAAAAAAGATGAACTAATGAAGTTTGCTTCTCAATCGGTAACAACTGAAAAATTGGCTTCTAGACAAACATTAAAAAAACCAAAACTGGAACAGCTAGATAGTGTAAAATGTAAAATAAACTTTGTTGTATGTATTTGCATACTGTATTTTTAGTTTAATTATTAACCTAATTGTTCTTATAATTACCGCCCGATAGGCCGGAATTTTCGGTAGTCCGACACCGAGCCGGTCCCGAACGTGCCGGATTATCGGACTTCTACTGTATAACGAAACCGGAGGATTAATATAATCAAGTTGTTTTGAAACTGTTCAGAAAATTTTACAGATTTCCTCTCAAAGAGTTAGATGTTTAGGAATAAACGTATTCATTATCTTAGAAAGTCCTCCACGAAAGCGTCCCTTCCCTTAGACAGATAGCCCTAGTTGTGCTTTGCCATAATCATATAAACCCAATCAAACGTATTCAAGATCCCATTGAGGTACATTAAGCATTATGCAACTATCAAATGTATTCGTCGGAGAGGTTTTAGTTATGTATATTTCATGCGCATCATATCTTGTGCCAAGGGTTCAAAAATGAAAAGAAAGGGAATTCCTCTGACGGAAATTATATTTCAGTTATATTTCTGGCCTAATATTAGAAAAAAAATTTAGAGCATATTCCGTTATATGTCGTTTCCGTTTTAAGTTTTTGATAAAACCATCGGAAATTCGTATAATTTTATTGCGAAATTTTCATTATTGCTTTTCTTATGTAAACTAAGTCTGAAATAAATTAATTTTGTCTATAACTTTGAAAGATTTGTCGCTGTTAGCTTAAGAACTAATTTCTAATCAAGTTTATGAAAATCCTCAAAAGCAAAGATTTAATGTTGGCAAATATTGACTAAGGGAAAGCACACGAGGTATATTTGCCTAAGGAGAGAGTTGTTTCAATGGAAAACCATATAAGGAAAACTAATTCCATGAAAACCCCTATTCATCCAGTCCATTCGCTGGGATAAGAATCGGGGTCGAATTGCCAGTGTTCAGCAATTTTATGTGCTTGGCCAATGGTGGGTCCGCAAGAAAGGAAGGAAAGCATTGAATATTTCTATTTTCCCTTTTCATTAGATAATATAAAATGAATAGCCTTAAATGTAGGAAAGGCAACCAGCAACTGAGTAAAACTTCTAAGGTAAGCGGCCTGCTTCGACTAACTGCTTCCTCTCTCTCGCTTGGCAAAAAGCCACAACTTCAATACTTGGCGTTCGCCAGACAAACTTTGCATAAATACTTTAACGCTTATAATTCTGACCGGAAGTAGAAAATAAGAAGTGATAGTAAAGATTTAAAATAAAATAAACGTTAGTAAAACTTAAGATCCTTACATACTTCCCGCCAGAGTTAATTAGTTTGAAACTGAGGTCTAAAACGACCTTGTTGAAAACTTTTAGCTCTAGAATCTAACGCGAGGCCAATCTTTTACAAACATTTTTCGCTAGAAACTAGAAACTAAAATTAAAAGAAAGAAATTTGTTTTTACAATAGTAGCTCCATGGACACGCAATTTGTTTTCATCTGTACTGCATCTAAACAGGAGCTTTTATTCAAATCTGGTTCCTTCCAGAGATCTGGAAGGAAAACTAGTTTAATGAAATGTTACACAATGAAATGGCAAGTAACATGATAATTATATTTCTCTTAACATTCTTATTTCATTCATGACTATTTAATTATCTCTCCCCGTGCTCTCTGACATGTGTTGTAAAAGAACACCAAACATGAATGTGTTTATGTACTATGTGTTCAACACTTCCTCCTACAATCAAAACACTAACGTGTTAAAAATTCAACATACCAAGACCTCGTAACACACCCTTAACTTCAACTCTAAACCCTGAGGTACTATTCTGAAAGTGGCTAACTCTGAAGTGTAGCGTCAGAGAGCCTAACTACATTCATTCAACCTTTAACACATATTCACCATATTTAGTCTTTTTACAGTCACACGAATAAAAAAAAAAAAATTAACATTACTTTCACTTTTACCATATCACGGTATTTCTTAACATTTTAAATAACAGTTCACATTGTATATAAGAACATATTAACATGCCGTTAATTTTACGCATTTTACAAACATACATTAGTAGTACATTGTTAACTTCTATTCTTTTCAAAGCAAGTGCCAATTTTTCTACATTGAAATACTACATTTCAAAAAGTCTTTCAGACTAAAACTTCTTTCTTGCCAGAAAGTTTTAAATAAAATTTATACAATAATTTTTACAATCTTAAATCGATAAAGGTAGACCTCGCATGAGGTAAAACTTCTTGAAATCTGCCACTTGCAGTAAGAATGAAAGATTAACTTAAGTTTGCAAAGTAACATAAAATTTTACTTATCTTTGTGATATTCGGACATTCTTTTCTGAGCCCAGTCCTGGAAAGGTAGCGAAGATTCGTGTTTGATTTATCCTCCTTCTTGTGCGGGCTCGCCCTTCAGTGCCTTCCTCTAGAAGCTTTCTTTTTTCCAGTTCGGTCACCCTTGAATACCTTCTTTTTCGCCTCTGCCTGTGGTCTTGGCCGTTTGATGGCAGCTGGTCTTGGCGGAACCGGGACAACTTCTCTCGTGTTCCTGCTTGGACTTCGTTGCTGGCCGTTCAAATTTTCCTTGTAACTTTTCCTCCGCCGCTGGTGGCCCTTCCGCAGTTCGGCGACATTTGCTGCGGAGAGTCCTGTCGGATGAGTAGATCTTCCGTTTTAGGAGCCGGGTTATAGTTGCCGTCATTTCTCCTGGCTCTCTTTGCATTCGTCGTCCTTCTCCCTTCTTCATTCTGGGGGTGTTCGTGAGCTCTCTTTTCTGGACGGTGGAACGGCTTCTTTTTCTTGTTACCTTCAATTTTCCCGCGGGAAAACTTTCTTTTCACTTGCTCCTGCCTCTTAATGGCTTGCCCTTGTGCTTGTCGTTGTTCCACCTCTGGAGCTTGTGCCTGCGGTGTCTGCCGTGCCGGATCCTGCAAAAGATCTGTAAATATTTGCATTTTATTACGATCATAGTAGGGTTTGATTTGATCAATGTTTGCGGAGCAGGTTTCACCATTCTTGGCTTTTAACACTACTACAGCGTGAGTTATTTTTTCTATGACATATGGTCCTTCAAATCGTGGAAAAAATTTGGCAGTTTTATCTTCTGGTGCTGAAGAAAGTGAATGCTTAATTTTTAATACTTCATCCCCTACTTTATAAGTTACTCCCCGTCGTTTCAAGTCATAATATAGCTTTTGTTTTCTCTGTGCTACTTCAGTATTCTTTTTTTTTGCTTCTTTAATTAGTTTTTCTATATCACCCATTTTAAATTCTGGGGCTCTTTGTTGCAACATAAAATAATTTATCTAACGGCGTTATAATCT